GAGGAGCCCTCCATAACCCCACAATATACGCTTCCCCGAAGTCGTGCACGGGTAGGTTAATTTTTTTTTGTTGTGTTTTCACGGATTGAAATCGCATCTCAGCCTAATTCCGACCCGACATCTCGGAGATTTGTTAGTGGAGTTGAGAGGGTGGGGCACGTGAAGAGGAATGCGGACTGCAAGAGGATAACGACGATTAGCCGCTAGGGCAGGTTTCTCGGGGAATGTTTTGCATAAAAAGCTACCTCTTTCTTCAAGCGACCGAATAAGACTTCCCCATTGCCGATTCTCCCAACGATATACACCCTAATGCCGCTCAGAAAGAGCGTGAACTGCGCAGGCCCATTTGGGCGCAGTATGAGGAATGCACCTTCTTTCGTGGGATATTTTTTGAAGCAACGGCGTCACCTGTCACATGATCAAACAGACGTGTGAACATTGTTCGCAACGAAAACAATTCAACTAGAGGCGCAGCCGCGCATGTCAAGTGAAGAATGCGGCACACGCTCCCCCCTCCTCCGGGATATGGAAAGTACACAGTGCGGGTGAAGCGGGACAATCAATAAGCAGCAAATTTCTCTAAGTGTTTACAACCCCCTCCCTCCAGCGACCGATTACGAACCCTCAGGGGATTTCCATTGCACGAGTGCTCTTTTAGTTGCGCTCACAATGCTCCTCCCAAGCACAGTAACGCCCTGAGGCAAGTCATGCCCAAGCCAGTAGGGCTGCGTTCATACTTTGCGACAGCGTCCACCAGCGTCTAAGCGTCAGTGACCACTAAGGCGTTCCGACAGCGTAACGGCTCGGAAAGTGTTAAATATATATCCAGGCGTCGCCAGCGTCCACCAGCAGTCGTGTCAGCGTCTGCGAAGGCTAAAAAATCTAGTATGGATCTAGCGCTGCCCTCTACTAGCAATCCAACCAGCTGGACACCAGTAACAGGGATCATAGCAGTATTAGGACAGTTAGAAGGGCTACTGAATTTCTGGATTGCATGATTGGATTGAAATGCGGCGTGTCGCTGGTGATGGCTGGTGCACAGCTGGAAAACGCTGTAGATGCTAGATTCGCTACACTATGCTTCTTAATCTGGCAGATCTGAGACCCTCGAGACGCAGCTGCTGCAAAGTAGAACGCAGCCTAAAGGTACTCCTCCATTGGCCACTACCAACACTCTTGGGGTGGCTATAAATTTGCTGCCTTGAAATAATTGCTTCATGCCCTGACCAAGGGGCTTCTCCCCATGCTGAAAAGTCGGACCTTTGTCGGCACCAATGGCCTGCACGCGTAGTTGTAGACGTTCCATAAAACGTGTCGTAGATTCATTCTACATTTCAATCAGTAGTTACACCAGTGCCCAGGATTTTCCATGATTTTGTGTATTCCAGGTGCTCTCTGGGTATCGCTTGTCTGCACCGTACAAAATGCCCAAATTTGTACGAATAATCATGAACGAACACTGCTTCCCAAAGACTCCTGATGAACGCTGGACAATGGCTGAGGTAATTATAACACGCTCAAGTCGGATCAAAACTTTATTCCGTTTTGAGATCCATGCTCAAGCTCGCATGGGCAGGCATTGCACCAGGCGCCTAATTGGTAACTCATGAAAAAGAGTTGAGAGCGTTGGCCCCAACCGATCTCCCGAACCGAAACCTTGTCTGAACACTATAAAGAACCGACCTCTTCCCGTTCCTGTATCACTTGCAATATGATACTTGTTGGCGATTAACTACGTGCCAGCTTTCTCATGGTGATTCGACCATTTGTGAGATACGGCGATACTGATCCAGAGTGTCTTTTCGTGAGCTAGACGAGATGTCAGTCATCGCTTCTCACTCCCAACTCTCCAAGAACTCATAGGTTCTTCATAGAATTACACTGCTGCTATAGAGAGCTATCGCCTCTATCTCTAATCTATCTCTATCCCTGCTCTATCTAGCTTATCTATTTATCTACAGATCTCGGGAACGTAATAAGGCCAGAGGATGGACATTATATGCCACGTGAATGGAGCACCAAGATCGAAATAGAATAACGGTGGAAAAAAGAGGTCTGGGAGCAAGAAGCATAGGCTGCAAAGGAGGTAAAGGGAAAGTATAACGGGGTCTTAAGGCCCGCATCATGATATCCATCAAATATCCGCCAACATTCATAGCTCGCGACACCAGCGATCACATGAATGTCCGTGGATTGGATCAGTATTGATTTTGTGGTTCTTCCAGTTCGCGAGAGAGGTAGTCGCCAATATCGCGAACTATAAACGCAAAAAGTAGCGTTGTCATATTTCCAAGATCTTTCAAAGCAAGTCTGAGAAGTTTACAGTGGCACACATACAAACGCTGAAACCTTGGTCCGATTCCCAGCTCACTCAGAGTTTTACCCATAACTCAGTAGCTCACCGTTCATACTTTTTCAGATCCGACAGAATATCGAAGGTTTGCTCGAAAGACGTGCTCTACCCGAATACGAAAACAGCGTGCAGCAAATGAAACGACTTGGACAGTGGTGATTTTGAAGAGCTGAACAGCGCGTACTAATAACATTGTGTATTTCATTAACGAAAAGTGGAACTCATATTAACGCTTCACGAAAATAAATTCAATTTATGCAATCGTTTCTATAAAGCTCGCAGATGCACCTTAATACGGTGTGCAGTAGTACGATAGAAATTACCGGTGACGTCATGACCTCGCCTTGCCGAAGCTATGTATCATCGTTATCACCGATGTCACCCGGGGCGCGTCAAGTATGCAGAGGTTTTGGTGCGAAGCAACTCTTTTGTCATGGATCGTTGCGACTTCTGGCGTTATTAGTGAGTAGGTAAAGGGCTGGCACCGTGTCAGTACCCACGGTGCACATGATTATTCCTAACAGACCACATACAAGAAGTGACAGTACTCGGGACTGTCGTTGCCTGATGTTTGGTTTGTTTTCTTAACGTTTCAGTGTGATTCATCCCAATTAGTGTCTCGACAATTTTCGATCCTCAGTGCCTACAACTGCAGATTTCCAAGGCGATTGGGTGTACACCATTTGCACATGGCCACCATCATGAAGATAGCAAACTTTCACGCCCTCAAGTATGCCTCCCAAGAACCCTAGTTAACCAACTGCTGTCGCAAGCTAACACACGTCGTCTCAGTCGACTGAGGAAATTTCAATACAGACGTTACCCAACTACGCACTGGACATTACCGACACATTAACAACCGGAAGATCCATTGGGAATGTGCTCGTGAAGACTGCGGCCTACATCACTTGGTTGGGGGACTTTAGTCGACTGCTAGTACGACCGCTCGCCTTTTTTGGGAGTTGGTACGCGAGCATCCTCGTCAGCCGCTCCTGTCCCTCGCTCATCGAGAATCACGGCCGTGCGAGCGGGGTAAATAGCACATGTGATAAGCGAAAATCACCAAGAGTCACACCGCGCACCCACAAACGGTCCAAACGCAAATACGACCCCCCGCCTCCTCCCAACGAATGATCAGTACGACCCCCTCTCCCTTACACATGTCCATCGAAGGGAGAACCTATCAAATAAATTTTTCCCGGAGCAACACACTGACCATCCGTCTGGCGACCAAAGTACGCCGCCCCCCTATTGGGGTTCCCAACAACGATGTCCCTGGGAGACGGGCAAGGACGAATAGTAGTTTGCCCGCTCAGCCGCGCGCGGTAAAAAAAATGTACGGGCGCCTTCCAACCTGTCGACTGTAGCACCGGAATTCATGTAGACCCCGTCGTAGACATTCATGACTATTTCCCGTCCTGAATTGCCTGTTGTTGCCATGTACTACCTGGAACCGTCGTCATTTTGCGGGCACGAAGTCGCACACCTCACCAGCGTCGGTGAATGTATCGATTTCTCTTGTCACATACCCTGTGCTCGCACCAGCAATGAATACATACCGTGTTATTCATCACAAATGGGGCGTGTCAGGGGCCGGATTTGGCGTGGTACCTGGATGCTGGCTCAACTTCAATCAACTGTGATGCGCTGGTCTGCGCGTCAGACGCTGCCCTCCCAAAACCTCAGCCTCGCCGAAGAGCGTTTATCTTAATGTTCACGGTCTAAGTTGTGGCTCAATGTAATTAAGAAGTGACACGAAGCGTTTCGGCGAGCTGTTATGTGCCCTACCAAGTGGAGCATGAGTGGCAAGAACCGTCCACCATCTCTGTGATTTCTTATTCGTGGAGTAATGTCGGCACACTTCCACAGCTATAGGCGCATTCTCAAATTGTATCCAACAACGGCTATTATTTTGTCTTACGCCAGGGAACCACAAGCAATCGCTCTAACAGTCTTTGTAATACTATTAGTGAGAGTACACTCACAACACAGCTCTTGGGTATAATGGTTATTCTAATTTCGATCTTGTTGCTCCCCATTCACTTTCATATAATGTCCATCCTCTGCTATTACGGCCGAAATCCTGTAGATAGATAGATAGATAGATAGATAGATAGATAGATAGATAGATAGATAGATAGATAGATAGATAGATAGATAGATAGATAGATAGATAGATAGATAGATAGATAGATAGATAGATAGATAGAGATAGATAGATAGATAGATAGATAGATAGATAGATAGATAGATAGATAGATAGATAGATAGATAGATAGATAGATAGATAGAGAGAGAGATAGAGAGAGAGCTCCTCTCATAGCAACAGTGTAACTTCTATGAAGAGCTATGAGTTCTTGGAGAGTTGGGAGTGAGAAGCGATGACTGACATCTCGTCTAGCTCACGAAAAGACACTCTGGTCAGTATCGCCGTATCTCACAATGGTCGAATCCACCCCATGTAGGAAAGCTGGCACGTAGGTAATGCCAACAAGTATCATATGCAAGTGATACATGAGTGGGAACGAGTCGGTTTATTTTTCGGTCGGGAGATCCGGTTGTGGCAACGCGCTCAAGCTCCTGTTTTTCACGACGTACCAATTAGGCCCTGGTGCAAATGCCGCCCACGCGAGCTTGAGCGTGGATCTCAAAACCGGAACAAAGTTTTGATCCGACTTGAGCATGTTATGATTACCTCAGCCATTGTCCAGCGTTCATCAGGAGTCTTTGGGAAGCAGTGTTCGTTCATGATTATTCGTACAAATTTGGGCATTTTGTACGGTGCAGACAAGCGATACCCAGAGAGCACCTGGAATACACAAAGTCCGTCATGGAAAATCCTGGCAGTAGTGTAACACTTGAAATGTAGGGAATGAATCTACGACAAGTTTCATGGAATGTCTACAATACCGCGTGCAGGCGGTTGTGCGACATCAGGTCCGACTTTTCAGCATGAGAGCCCGCTGTCAAGGGCAATGAGCGAATTATTCACACGGCAGCAAACTCTTATAGCCACCCAAGAGTGTTGGCATTGGCAATGAAAGTACCTTAGGCTGCGTTCATACTTTGCAGCAGCGTCTCGAGGGTCTACCAGCATCTGCCAGGATTAAGGAAGCATAGGTATCGATCTAGCATCTGCCAGCGTCTTCCAGCTTGCACCAGCATTCACCAGCGACACGCCGCAATTTCACGACGCCTAATCCAGCAATTCAATACCCTTCTACTTCCTAATACTCTATACCCTGTCGCTGGTGTACGCTGGTGGATGCTAGTAGACGGCAGACGCTAGATCCATACCTATATTTTCTTAGCCTTCGAGACGCTGGCAAACGCTGGTGGACGCTGGCAGACGCTGGATATATATTTACACTTTCCGAGCCGCTGACGCTGCCGGACGCTCGGAACGCTAGTGGTCGCTGGTGGACGCTTAGACGCTGGTGGACGCTGTCGCAAAGTATGAACGCAGCCCTACTGGCTTGGGCATGACTTGCCTCAGGGCGTTACTGTGCTTGGGAGGAGCATTGTGAGCGCAACTAAAAGAGCACTCGTGCAATGGAAATCCCCTGAGGGGTTCGTAATTGGTCGCTGGAGGGAGGGGGTTGTAAACACTTAGAGAAATTTGCTGCTTATTGATTGTCCCGCTTCACCCGCACTGTGTACTTTCCATATCCCGGAGGAGGGGGGAGCGTGGCCGCATTCTTCACTTGAACATGGCAGCGGCTGCCCTACTAGTGGAATGTTTTCGTTTCGAGACAATGTTTACCACGTCTTTGTTGATCATGTGACAAGGTGACTGTTGCTTCAAAAAATATCCCACGAAAAAAGTGCATTCCATGCTGTGCCCAAATGGGTTGCGCAGCCACGCTCCTTCCTTGAGCGGGATATAGGGTGTATATCGTTGGGAGAATCCCAATGGGGAGTCTTATTTGGTCGCTGAAGTAAGAGGTAGCTTTTTATGCAAAACATTCCCCGAGAAACCTGCCCTAGCGGCTAATCGTCGTTATCCTCTTGCAGTCCGCATTCCTCTTCACGTGCCCCACCCTCTCAACTCCACTAACAAATCTCCGAGATGTCGGTCGGAAGTAGGCTGAGATGCGATTTCAATCCGTGAAAACAACAAAAAAATGTAACCTACCCGTGCACGAACTTCGGGAAGCGTCATATTCTGGTATGGGAGGGCTCCTCCTGTGTATATCTGAAGAATTAGGTGAGTAATCATAGATTTATTGGTTGGGGTACAAATGCAAATCAGAGGTTTTTAGGGACTTGTCAGGAGTTCTGAATACATACACGGTTTGCCGTCGGGTGGTACAGTGTGTACAGCTCCATATGTCCATGACCCCCCTTCACTCCACGAGTACGCCCACAGATATCCGCGGTGAATGACTGACTGTTTTGACTCTCGACGACGGGTTCGCCCTCCCGGCAAATTAGAGAACCAAAATTCAGCATAAGTCTTTCAGTGGTATGGTTCTGGCTTACAAGGTCGCATATTTCTTTATTTCTTTGCCTTTTTCCTGCAGTTTTTTTTGTTCCACCAAACTCGCCCAAACGCAGGCTAGCAACTGACGTCATGTAACGAGCAGTGTGCTAGAATTTGACGCTGGATGGTTTTCACTTACTTCGAAAATATCTTTTAGGACTCAGCTCACCTCCCATAGCATCACTCCGAAAGAGAACACATCACTTTTTGTCGAATATGTCGCCGTGGCCAGAACTTCTGGTGCCAACCATCGGATCGGCAGCCGTTGATTCATGTCCTGAGCAAGAGCAGCCCGAATATCTCATAAAGTTGACTCTAGATTGGTCGAAGGAAAGTCCGACCAGTCGGACCGAAATGCGGCCTCAATGAGCCCCGCTTTTGCCCAACCCACGCCTCGTCTTTCTTCAGGACTCTTAGCGTTAGAGCGCTATCATTAACTGTTTTGGATTCCCTTACTAGGCTCGTTGGAAACTTTTCTACGATGGTCCCCTATATGATTGTTATTTTCGACCTATGGGGACACTACTAAAGACCATTTTTGGACACTTTGGTAGTTTGGGAGGTTATAGCAAGGGGGTTAAGTGTTTTTGCACAGAACGTCTGTGATATTTCAGCTAAGGAAGGGAGGTCAAGTTCCGGTATAAAATTTTACCGCATTATGATTTTAACGTCAATTTTCAAAAGCGAGGCTGTCAACGGTAGACAGTGCCATTTATTACAAAGAACTCTGAAGGAGTTATAATGGGAATTACCTTGAGCTTATACTTCTTTTCTCTATTCGATAGCTCACGTGATAACCCAAAGTCACTAATTTTTACGTCGTTGTCGTGTACCAGGCAGTTCCTAAATAATGGTAGAATTCTGGCACAAAAAGCTAGTATTTCTCTCAGGGCACGTCTGTCGTTGGATAGAATTTCTGTGAAATACGACCCCCTCCTCACAAAGAAACGAGCAAAACGCCCTCTTCTTACTGGGAGGTTCCCGACGTTGTGGATGTCGCGCTGCTTCCCCGTGGGACGTGTCCTGATCTCTCTGATTTATCATTCCGGCTATTCCCGCATTCGGGTCTACCTTTCTATCACGTCCTTCGCTCTAACACCTTGAAGGTGGCGTGCATTTTCGGCTATACACGCGTGCGCTGACTCTCGTTTCGCGTGTTTGTGCATTGTCAGCCATGCACACGCCTCAAATGAAAGTCGCAGCAAAACGATGCGGCATTCAATGGTTAAATGCGGTATCAAACTGTTCGTATGGGCGAGGACAGATAACCAAAGGAGAGCGTCCATCGTCCACGATACGCACGCAGGTGGGCGGAGATATGGATGGGGACAAAGAGCCATTGTGCCTTCCTCATTGGTGCATCCCTCTCTTTACCAGCCCAGAGCGTGAGGCGCATCAGTGAGGAAGGCAGTAATTCTCTGTCTCCGCCTATATAGTGCCTGTGACCCATACAATATTAGCTACTCAGCTTCCTAATTCCTCACGCGGCCAGTGAAAACGACTTTGTTTTCATAACCATTTCTGTTCCATTTTTTTCTTCCTATGTGGAACCGAAAAAAAAACAAAAATCACAGTTACCTTGTTGCTACATCTCTATGAATGCAGTTTTTGTAGTGAAGATATTCAAGTCCTTTAGAAGGCTCCAAAGGCGTATCGTAACTAAATCAGTGGAATCACTTTATTATTGGGAGGGGGAGGGGGGCAAGGTATTAATCAGAAATGCACCAACAAGATCATTAATTGGGATGTCATCGCCATGTTTTTGGAGTACACCATCAAGTGAACCACCATCGACCAGTTCCATTACAAGCATAACTGGTTCCTGAATTGATATACTTATGTAGTACGACTGCGAGAGATGATGGGGAGGGCTGCTGAGAGAAGAGGGACACTCTACGGAAAAGTGGGAAAAATGGTCCTCGCGTCATAATAATTTTGCCTTGATTTGCCCTGAATGGACAGCAGGATCCTAGGCAGGGTAAATCCTGGAGTTGAGGGAATTTCTTGTTGAGTACGACCCCCATCCCCTTCTCCTCAACCGAATTTCTCTCCTCTGACGCCCAATACTGCTACCGACCTATCGTTTTACCGGCCCTTCCCAAAAATCTGCCTTCGAACGGCAGGGGAAGGGTAGAGAGGGGTAGAGGGGTAGACAACTTACACCATCTATCACGAAAGGTAGTTCTACGCCGCCGTCGACTAGGGAAGTATGTGACAAGGGGGAAAAAAAGAGGTCTGGGAGCAAGAAGCGTAGGCTGCAAAGGAGGTAAAGGGAAAGTATAACGGGGTCTTAAGGCCCGCATCATGATATCCATCAAATATCTGCCAACATTCATAGCTCGCGACACCAGCGATCACATGATGTCCGTGGATTGGATCAGTATTGATTTTGTGGTTCTTCCAGTTCGCGAGAGAGGTAGTCGCCAATATCGCGAACTATAAACGCAAAAAGTAGCGTTGTCATATTTCCAAGATCTTTCAAAGCAAGTCTGAAAGTTTACAGTGGCACACATACAAACGCTGAAACCTTGGTCCGATTCCCAGCTCACTCAGAGTTTTACCCATAACTCAGTAGCTCACCGTTCATACTTTTTCAGATCCGACAGAATATCGAAGGTTTGCTCGAAAGACGTGCTCTACCCGGTTACGAAAACAGCGTGCAGCAAATGAAACGACTTGGACAGTGGTGATTTTGAAGAGCTGAACAGCGCGTACTAATAACATTGTGTATTTCATTAACGAAAAGTGGAACTCATATTAACGCTTCACGAAAATAAATTCAATTTATGCAATCGTTTCTATAAAGCTCGCAGATGCACCTTAATACGGTGTGCAGTAGTACGATAGAAATTACCGGTGACGTCATGTCATGACCTTCCTTGCCGGAAGCTATGATATCATCGTTATCACCGATGTCACCCGGGGCGAGTCAACTATGCAGAGGTTCTGGTGCGAAGCAACTCTTTTGTCATGGATCGTTGCGACTTCTGGCGTTTAATAGATGATAGGAAAGGGCTGGCGCCGTGTCAGTACCCACGTCACAGAGGAGTACTTCCTAACCAGACCACATAAAAAAGTAACATACCGGGACTGTCGGTTGCGTTGCCTGATGTTGGTTCGTTTTCTTAACAGTCAGTGTGATAATCCAATTAGTTCTCCAATTTTCGATCCTCAGGTGCCTTAAAATGCATATTTCTAGCATTGGGTGTAGACCATTTGACATGCACATCATGAAGATGAGCAAAACTGGCACGCCCTCAGTATGAGCTACTCCTCTACTTCGACTTAAAAGCCTTCCCCTCCTATTCAGTTTCCCACAGGAAGTTTTTCGAGGTGGGTGTGAGACATATATGACATCAAAACCGAAAAAACAGCAATAGTTTGGAAACCTTGTAATGCTTCCCAAGAATCCCATAGTTACCAACTCTGTCTGCAAGCTACACACTCGTCTTCAATCAGACCTCCTGAGAAATTTCAAACTGACGTTACCAACGATGCATTGACATTACCGACACATTAAAAGCGGAAGATCCATGGGAACGAATGTGCTCGCGGGAGACGGCAGGGCACATCATTGGTTGGGGATTTTAGTCGACTCTATACGACCCCTCCCCCCCCCCTTTTTTTGGGAGTTGGTACGACCATCCCCCCAGCCTTCTGTCCTTCTTCATCCAGCCGTCGAGCGATGGGTAAATAGCACATGTGAAACAGGAAAATCACCAAAAGTCAACCGCCACTCCCACAACGCCAAAACGTAAATACGACCCCCCTCCTCCCAAAAATGATCAAATACGACCCCCCTCCCTTTACAACGTCCATGAAGCGAGAAAAATCAACTATCAAAATAAATTTTTCTCAGCCCAAATACGACCCCCTCCTGGCGACCAAATACGACCCCCCCCCTATTGGGGATTCCCCAACAACGATGTGCCCTGGGAGACGGGCAGGAGAATAGTAGTTTGCCGCTCAGCCGCGCGCGGCAATGGGTACGGCGCCTTCTCAACCTGTCGACTGTAGCACCGGAATTCATGTAGACCCCGTCGTAGACATTCATGACTATTTTCGGTTCTGAATTGCCTGTTGTCGCCATCTACTACCTGGAACCATCGTCATTTGCGGGCGCGACGTCGCACACGCCCACCAGCGCGGTGAATTACGATTCTCTTGTCACATACCCTGTGCTCGCACCAGCAAAAAATACATACCGTGTTATTCATCACAAATGCTGGGGCGTGTCAGGGGCTGGATTTGGCGTGGTGCCGATCGCTGGCTCACTTCAACAAGTGGTGGATAATGCGCTGGTCTGCGCCAGACCTAGCCCTCCCAAAACCCCTCAGCATCCGCGAACAGCGTGTATTTGATTGGTCCACAAGTTGTGGCTAGTGGTAACTGGCAGTGACACGGAAGCGTTTCACGGAGCTGTATGTTGCCTACCAAGTGGAGTATGAGTGACAAGACACCGCTCCACCAATCTCGCGAGATTCTTACTCATGGGAGTAATGCGGCACACTTCCACAGCTATAGCGCATTTTTCAATGTAGTCCAACAACGCTATATGTTGCCTACCAAGGGAATCCACAAGGTATCGCTCTAACAGTCTTTGTAATACTTATTAGTGAGAGTGATACAACACAGCCTCTTGGCTATAACTGTTAGGCTGCGTTTATACTTTGCGGCAGCGTAGCGTAGCGCTTCCAGCGTTTCACGAGCGTTTCACTAGCGTTTCGCTATAGTATTTATTTTTTGTTGCAGTATTTTGTGCTCTCCTACTCTTCTATACTCTCTAGCCCCGCCGCTGCAAACGCTAGCGAAACGCTGGGAACGCTAGATCGATATCTATCCTTTCCCCGACACTGCCGCTGGCGTACGCTGGAAGCGCTACGCTACGCTGCCGCAAAGTATAAACGCAGCCTTACCTACCAATGACATTAGCACGGCACAGCTCCACTGAACCATATACTATCTACCAGTGACAGTGACACGGCAGCACTTCACGGCGCTAGTGATAGCTACTGAGGTAGTGACACGGCAAGCTCCACCAAATTACCATTGTCACTACCATTGGTGGGACCGAACTATCAGCCACCAATGGTAGTGACACGGCACCAGTCTAGCGAGCTGTACTTTGCTTCCCGGCGGCAGATTAACAGCGTTATATGCTGCCTGCCAATGCCAGTGACATGGCTGCGCTTCACGCATGTTGTAGTTTTGTTTGCACAGAAATTTTCAACCGACGGAGTCGTCGCGCCTCACAACTACACAAAAGCACGAGCAGTTCCACTTTTCTGGTGTTCTAAGGCTGCCACTACTCTGACCATTATGAACACCCACACATACAACCCCTTTCCCTACTGCAGGTCACATACCTCATGTGCGCGGAATTTTGCAACAATTGCTTAATCCTGAAGTTTTGTGGTCAAAACAGCCTGCTACGCCTCAGTCTTTCTTGCATAGTAAGCAGATTACCTCCGAAGCCCCCTCCCTTGAATAAACCATCTCTCGGGGCCACGCATGTTGTCGCCACCGGTTCAATGCTTTGAGTCGTCATGTCTCGTGCCTGCGATTACAGTTCCCAAACACGACCGTTCCACAAATGTCCAAACTAGCCACATAAGGCGTGCGTTGTATAACTTTGCGCCAGCGTAGCGTAGCGTAGCCTTTCTAGCTTATCGTAAGCGCTTCCAAGCGTACGCCAGCGGCACTGAGTGCCGAGAGAGGATGCCATATCGTCTAGCTTCACCAGTCGTCTTATCCACGGCTCTCCTACGCTTATCTCTATCTAGTGCGTACTCCCAGCGTTCTCCAGCGTTTCATTCTTATATGGCGTTTTGCTAGCGGCTTGCAGCGCGCAGGGCGTTTTTAGTAATTTGAGGACTGGATGCGGAGCAGGCTGAGCTGGAGCGGGTACAAAACTCATCGATTGCGCGTCTCCCACTCGCCCTTAGTCTCTACAATGCACATCGCTTCTGCGTCTCCGACGGCCCCATAGTCTCTACGATGCACATTGCTTCTGCGTCTCCGACGCCACATAGTCTCTACAATGCACATCGCTTCTGCGTCTCCGACGGCCATATGGTCTCTACAATACACGTCGATTCCGCTTCTCTCACGGCCACATAGTCTCTACTCCCATGCCGCCTGCACAGCGCTAGGCAAAACGCTGCTGCGTGAAACCTGCGAGAAAACGGCTGGCGTACGCTAGCGTACGCCAGCGTGCCGCTGGTGACGCTGGTGAAGCTAGATCGATATGCATCCTCTCTTCGGCACTGCCGCTGGCGTACGCTGGAAGCGCTACGCTACGCTGCCGCAAAGTATAAACGCAGCCTAACCGG